CTGGATGTTCGGCTGAAAAAGCTCGGACCTGAGCATGTTGATGTCGCAACGTCTTATAATAACCTGGGCCTTGTCCACAAGCAGCTGGGTGACCTAGAGCAGGCAAAAGACTGTCACGAGCGTGCCCTGCATTTTCGGCTGAAAAAGCTCGGACCTGAGCATGCTCTTGTCGCAACGTCTTATAATAACCTGGGTCTTGTCCACAAGCACCTGGGTGACCTAAAGAACGCAAAAGACTGTCACGAGCGAGCGCTGGATGTTTGGCTGAAAAAGCTTGGACCTGAGCATCTTGATGTCGCAACGTGTTATAATAACCTGGCCCTTGTCCACAAGCAGCTGGATGATCTAAATCAGGCAAAACACTTTCACAAGCGAGCGCTGGATGTTCGGCTGAAAAAGCTCGGACCTGAGGATGCTCTTTTCGCAATGTCTTATAATATTCTGGGCCTTGTCCACAAGCACCTGGGTGACCTAAAGCAGGCAAAAGATAGTCACGAGCGAGCGCTGGATGTTTGGATGAAAAAGCTCGGACCTGAGCATCTTGATGTTGCAACGTGTTATGATAACCTGGGCCTTGTCCACAAGCAGCTGGATGACCTAAAGCAGGCAAAAGACTTTCACAAGTGAGCGCTGGATGTTCGGCTGAAAAAATTCGGACCTGAGCATGTTGATATCGCAATGTCTTATAATAACCTGGGCCTTGTCCACTGCCAGCTGAGTGACCTAAAGCAGGCAAAAGACTGTCACGAGCGAGTCCTGGATGTTCGGCTGAAAAAGCTCGGACCTGAGCATGTTGATGTCGCAACGTCTTATATTTACCTAGGCCTTGTCCACAAGCAGCTCGGTGACCTAAAGCAAGCAAAAGACTGTCACGAGCGAGCCCTGGATGTTTGGCTGAAAAAGCTCGGACCTGAGCATGTTGATGTCGCAACGTCTTATAATAACCTGGGCATTGTCCACGAGCACCTAGGTGACCTAAAGCAGGCAAAAGACTATCACAAGCGAGCGCTGGATGTTGGGCTGAAAAAGCTCGGACCTGAGCATGTTGATGTCGCAAATTCTTATACTAACCTGGACCTTTTCCACGAGCAGCTGGGTGACTTAAAGCAGGCAAATGACTGTCACGAGCGAGCCCTGGATGTTTTGCTGAAAAAGTTCGGACCTGAGCATGTTGATTTTGCAATGTCTTACAATAACCTGGTCCTTGTCCACCGGCAGCTGGGTGACCTAAAGCAGGCAAAAGACTTTTACAAGCGAGCGCTGGATGTTCGGCTGAAAAAGCTCGGACCTGAGCATGTTGATGTCGCAATGTCTTACAAGAACCTGGGCCTGCTGGGTGACCTAAAGCAGGGATGATACATTAAGTGGTTTGTTACATATTTAGACTTTCCCCTTAAACCATCATATGGCAAAAACATGCTGTTGTATTCGGCGCGGGCAATAATTACGCAATTGTATTCCGGTCGGGGTAAATTTGTATTTGATCAGGGTAGGTTGACCAAGAATCAACCAATAACAGTGCTCGTTTTGTTGAGTGAAAGTCTAGGTATGTAACAATATTTAATATTTTTCGTAAAAAGTTTGGCGTCTAAACAAGACCTTTAATATCTGAGGTTATCTTTACATGAAAGAAAGGTTTCTCGCCAGTGTCGGTTATTATTTGTTGTTTTTCAAGACAATTTCGCAGATTAGATGTTGGTGATAACGGCCTCAGTATGATCACTGATGCAGAAACGGAAGAAAAGAACGATGAACCACTGTGTTATATGTGACGACTTAAATTAACCTTACAAGCTTTTTCTTACCTAAAAATATTTTAAAAGTTTTTACAGATTTTTTTAAATTTGAATTTGAACATTCTAGGAAATGTAAATCGTATTCGATTGACGCCAGTTGAAGAATGTTGATTTCATTAAATGAATCAGTGGTAACGAGTTGCCAGTACGGGACTTGAAATTACTGCTTCAAAATGAACGCTGGAATTGGCCGAACCATGAACATGTCGCTCAAGGGGCATGTTGCTTCGTGTAGCCTTGATCTTTGTTGTTGTTGTATGAGATGCAGAGCCACAAAAGCTTCGTAAATTCTCTTAAAAATTGTGTGTTTACAAACCGTTCTTCTGTTCATGATGGGTTGAGGAAATCTTTGATCTGTGTGGGGAAGTGAAAATGACCGTATTCTATCACAATACAATTGACTTTTCCCCCCATAAAGCTCTAGCAGTGAATTTCTACAGTCCCCCTTTCCCCTCCCCCCTTTGTACTCTGTAGGAGGCGAAAGAGTATAAAGAGTGATCACAAACTTACCAGTTAACAAATGTATACTACCATTCTCAGTTGAGTGAGAAGCGACAAAAGTTATACGACAGCGGAAGTGTTACCACACCGGAAGTCAGTTCTGTCGCTGACCAGTTTTACTTGCGACTAGGAGTTAAAGGACTTACATAAATGTATTTTTGTGATATATCAAAACTTTTATTCATAAACAACAGAACTTAACCCCAATTAAGGCAATCGTTTAGTTCTTAACTAGGGATATCGGAGACATTTAACGGCTAACATTGGCTTGCTTATTTGANGAAGGTTCAAACTGTCAACCGCTGCAACAGCTCTTGAGATTTGGTTACCAAACGAAGAAATTTGCCCCACACAACTTTACTGTCAAATCCCCGTCCCCAAACTTTGTCCGTGTCTCACTCAACTTATAATCGTAGTAAATGTTTAAACAAGTTTAAAAGTTCTAAGTCCTTAAAAAAGATAACTAACTGACTTAACTAATGGAGACACCTCTTTTGTAAAGGGTCTGATTGAATATGGCCGCCCCTATGGAATATACTGAGGAGCAGCTGAATTACTATAGGATCTGTTACATTGTCACCGATGTACTAACTGAAGGCCTTCGAACAATCTTCAAACAAGAATGGGACAATCGCTACAAGGCAACTCTGGGAGAATGGAAGGATCAGCCGAAAAATGGAATGGACTTTAAGAGCCATGAATCACCAGGAAACAGAAGAAAAAACGCCCTTCTCTTCAAAACTATCATCAATGGTGACAGAGCGGAATGGGATTGTACCATGCTGTTTTATGCCATTCTTTATTCAGATTGCATCTGCAATCTCCATCCAGCTGTTCAGTCAAATGTGGATGTTCTCAGAAAATTTCGTAATGAAGACTTTGCGCATAGACCACGAGGCTACCTTTCCAGCGAATATTTTCAAGATGCGGTTTTAAAGGTAAATACTGCATTTCACGCACTCGGTCTTCCCACTCAGCAAATCCGTGAAATCCAAACTCAGACAAGTTTCCCGACGAGAGAGTTAAGAAATGTTCTGAAGAAAGTTGACAACCTTCAACAAGAAGTTATCGAGAAGGAAACAAAGCTTCAAGAAAAAGAAAGGGAACTACAAGAAAAAGCATCGCAACTCGATGAGAAAGACAAGGAACTTGCTGAAAAAGAAACGAAACTCGTAGAAAAAGAGAATCAACGACAGACCCTTGAGGTACAGCTGCAAACGAAGGTCTTACCATTTTGTATTCTTCCTCCTGGACCTACACACGACGTCTTCCCTCGCAGATCGGAGGTTGATAAAATCACACAACACCTCATAGAACTGAAAGATGCCAACCATGACAGCTTAAGCACCTTGTACTTACTCGGAAACCCTGGAAGTGGAAAATCTCAGCTGGCCCGTTTAGCAGCCAAGCGATTTTTCGACAAGAGCAAAGAAACTCCGTCAGCGATTTCATTTGTCATGACACTTAATGCAGAAAGTTCAGAAACACTTTTGGAATCGTATGTCTCCTTTGCTCGACACTGTAAATGTCCAGATTACTCAGTTACAGAAACTCGTAATTCCAAAGATCTGAGCACAGACGAAAAAATTGCAAGTCTCAAGACGCTAATAAGCGCAAAAATTGAGCTGTACACGTCGTGGTTGCTGATAGTTGATAATGTCACTAGTTTGTCACATGTACATACTTATTTGCCAGGTCCAGAAAATCAACAATGGGCGAGGGGCCAGTCACTGATAACGACACAAGACACCAAGTCTATTCCTTTAAAAAGCTCCTTCATTCAGCACATCTCAGTAAGCAAAGGAATGTTACCTGATGATGCCTGCTCCATGTTAAGGCTCCTATCTGGTGTCACTGATGACGAGATAGAAAAAGAAATTGCACGAACTTTGGAGTACCAGCCACTGGCTTTGGCTACTGCCGCCATCTATGTAAGACAAGTTCGGGATAGTAAAATAGCTTCAAAATTCAGCTGGACTGACTTTCTAAAGAAACTTGAGAAAGGGCAGCGAAGTACAATTGAGAATATTCTTGCCGAGACAAACCCAAGTTACCCAAAAACAATGACCACAGCGACAACACTCGCCTTAGAAAAGATAATGAGATCCGACACAGCTTTAGATCACTTGTTTACTTTTCTCTCTCTTTGTGTGCCACAACCAATACTAAAGGATATTGTCGTCGACTATATTATGGAAATGGAAGAGCAATTAGAAGATAAAGATGCGATTGAGGTAAAGATAAGTCGATGCCCATTGTTGTTGTTTGACAGAGAGGAGAGCGGTGTTTACATTCGAGTGCATGGAGTCGTCCATGACATTGTTAATTCAGTAACAAAGAAATCTGCAAAGGATAAGCAAATCAAATCCATACTAGGGGCTGTTTCATCCTTCTCCAAATTCGAGGATCAAGATTCTCTAGTCATTGGCACAAAAATTGTTCCTCATCTGGCAAAAGTGATTACAGAAGCCGAACATTTCTTTTCTGAAGACGGACTATCTCAAGTTGCTCAAATTGATATGTTCACCCTGCAGGACTATTCTAACGTCTTTACAACCCTCGGAATTATGTGCCACGAGCACTCTCAATATCCAGCGGCGAGAAGCTACTTTACAGCAGTCCTAGCAATCCTCAATTTAAGAGACCCAAGTAATGAATTACGAAAAACAGC